ATTTAAATAACACTTAATATATCAAAAATGATAAAAAACTGTTTTTAATGAAAAATGATTCAAGAATAATTTTTTTATGTTATATTTTAATATAACTCTATGTATCAATTAAATAATTTATTTATTTATTTATTTAGAGTTTATAATATTAAATATATTTATTATTAAATAAAACATAAATATTATATAAAAAAATTATCACATTTGCCCGAGTCTAAATTATTTTCCACCGGCAATAATAGCTTTCCATTTCCTTTCCCTTAATTAGGAGTCTTCGTATCCGATTCAATCCGATTGATCCGACATAAACTGATCCAATCTAATCAAAAATCGATCCAAACAGATATAAAATTGAGTTGGTTTGAATTCTAAAATTTTAAAACTGATATTATTGGTTTGGTTCGTGGTTTTACCTTTAAACTGCCCGAACTGTTCGATTACAAAATAAAATCTAATTAGAGGATAATTTAAGTAAATAATATAACATATTTTTTGTAGTATTTTAAATTTTCTTTTTATTATTTTACAAGATTATAACTCCATTAACTTAATTAAAAAAAAAAGAATAGAATCTCTCCATATTCCCTAAGTTATTTCTCCATTTTAATCATACACCCTAACTTTAATTCTAAATTTTTAATTCACCTGCAACTCTATCTTCTCAGAACTGGTTTGCGCCTTTACTCTTGGAACCCTAAATTTCTAATTTATTCTTAAAATAATCTTATAATTTTCCTAACTAAGTTTTAAATAAGTATTATTCTAAAAGCCTTAAAACCATATAATAAAATTAGTTTTAATATTCAACTATTCTTAGATATTTGGTTTAGAAGTTTTAAATTTTGATTTTGAATGTTTCTAATCAATTTTAGTAATATTCATGTTAAATGTTATTTACTTTTAACAAAATTTAAAAAATGAGATTAAATTATTAGTGTATTAGAAAAAAAATTAATTTTAATCTTCAAGACTTATTTATGCTATGCTAGAAATTCGAAATTATTTTTTATTATTTTTGATGCCTCTAGTGATGTAACAAAAAAGAATTTTCAGAGTTTTTCAATTTTTACAAATGTAAAAGAGTATAAGAATTCATTTAT